ATAGCCACCTACCTAGCATATAGTTATTTGCCCGATAGTTTACTCTTTGGGTTGGCGAGATGGCTCAGCAGGTGAAGGGATTGTTGCTCAAGTTGTAAAGTCCTGTGTAGGTGTGTATTCCCAGAACTCACGGAAAGCAGGGGTGCAGAGAGACACAGCAGTGTAATCAAATTTCCCTAGAGTGAGGGGGGAAATGGAATGGAGAATCTCCTCGAGTTCACAGACCTGGCATCCTGGTGAACACAATGCGAACACCAAAAGAGAAACCCAGTCTTAGACCAAGACCTGTGGTTGTCTCCTGGCATCTGCACATGGGTCCTCCTTGTAGCAATAGAGAGACTTAGTGGGAATGTACATTTGCATTTCTTCTCAGTATTGGGCATCACATGACATCAGCCACACTTCTGGGAGACCCTGCCAAACGTACAAATCCTGACCCATTATTCAGTGTTAAGAATCCATAGTTTACATTTTAATAATTATGGCTTTTGACTAGCATCCTGAGGGGGGAAAAAAGAGAGAAGGCATGTGAAGAGTCCTTTATCCCGTAAAGGTTCTGTGTCAAGTGTACTGAATTGCAGAAAGGGGATTTCATGTGGATGTAAAGACAGGGTCTCATTCTTACACTACTGGGAGGGGTTAACTAGAAGAAACTGGTCAACAATCCCACATAAGGAGGTCCTGGAAAAGTGCTCCAGGAATTTGCATTCTGGGTTGCTACTGGTGGAACATCTCAGAACACAGGTGAAAGGAAACAAAGAAAAGTGAAATCCCACTTTGAGTTCAGATTGATGTTGTTACTGCAAAGACAGTGTGCTGCTGAAGGTGGTTCATAATGCGCACTGAGGTGGGTTTTAGAGACATAAGGGTGATGAAAACTGAGACTATGAGGGAATGTTATATCACCAAGAAAAGAAAATAAATGCTTTTGAGAAAATGATTGAAGATTCCTGGTTTCACTTTCAGTGGCCAGAATGACCAGGGATTGATGAGGCACAAAAGGAAATCATATAACAAGTTTAGTGAACAAAAGGGATTGTAAATAGAAGGAAGAAGTTTGCACTTACAGTGAACTAAGACATTCACAATTTGGAAATACCATTTTGTATAAACTGGGCAATGGTTAAATGGTTTATTCAAGGTCAAGAAATGATAAATAAATGCCCAGGATGTCTATAAACTTCCTGGTTACTCAGTATAACTTCCCTTAAGGAACTTTGAAAATTATAAGTATAACAATGGTGGAATATGAAAAATTCTCTGTGAAGTAAATAAATCATATCAAATATAAAAGTAAATGGAGTATCCTTTGCTGTATACATAATTATTAATCACTGTCACCTACTTTGCCACTAGTTACTTCTATATTACAGGTGCAGGCTGGTCAGAATTGTCCTGAATTTGTTTTTAATGAGAATGAAATTATAAAAAGAACAGATTTTTTTTCTGAATTTGTTGTGTTATCTAGTGGAAAAGGGTTATCTTAAATGAACATATTCTAAGCATTCTCCTGACATTAATACACAGAAGCCTATGAAAATTTCTGCAGTCATTCCCAAGAAAAGTATTTTTTAGTAGTTTTAAACTTTAAGTTAATTCTGTGTTTTGCCTTGAAGAATAGTTGTATAGAAATATAAATTTCAAAAATATTATAAGAGTAAAATATTTCACTTCTAAGATAGGATTTTTCTTTCATTTACAAATATTCTGAAACCCAGGAAACAGGCCATCCTCAAGTTCAGAGTTTCTTTTTTCATTGTTGACATTTAATCATTAAGCCAATATTGTAAATGAATTATTTGACCTACCCTTATCACAACATTTAGTCAGCTTTGCTTTTTTTTCACTTAATGTAAGCTGAGTCATAAAGGAAGAATGTTTCAAGAAGAGTCAATAAGTAGCTCAGAAATATTACAACATCCCATGAAATTACTTCCCTAGTCTTACACCTTCCAGTTGCAAGAATAGCAATATGCCAATGGGTTGAAATTAATGACTTAGTAATTTATTGAACCTACTATTTTGGTCATAAATAATCTAACTTCTACTCATATTATTTTGTGAGTAATGCTCATCAAGAAACTTAAGACATTTTCCCAACTCACTTAGATCTTGCAAATGGAATATTTAGATATTTTTTGATCAGATGTGACTCTGTGCGTTCAGGTTTCAAAAGGTCCAGAGAGTTACCAAGGATTCCAGGTAAAATTTTCAATAGAAACAGAGAGTCAACACTCTGTTCTTATGGTTTTTGGTATAAGATGTTATTACTTTGTATTTGGATGTCTAAAAGAAGTTCTGGTTGTAAAAAGAGAGTCTGTAATACACTATTCCAATATCTTCAAAGTGAGATTTAAATAAATGAGTGGAGAGTCTGTGTGTGCATATTTGGGCAAAAGTGATACCAACTACCATAGAAGTTTCTAGTTGGTGTGAATAGTCAAGTATTGTAGAAGTTTCTAGTTAGTGTGAATAACTAAGTACAGTAGAAGATTCTAGTTAATGTGAATAGCCATGCCTCCACATGGTAATTGTGTAAGTATTGCAGAAATTAGAGTTGTAGTAGCAGCAATGCAGAGGAGTCTGGTTTTTCTTCTAATAGTGAACCAAAAGAATGTATTGAAACTAGAAAGAAATAAAAAGTTTGGTTAACCTAAAAGGGAATAAATTCAGTTTTGATGATTAAAGTAGCACTAGTGGTTATATCCAGGCTACAAGAAATTATGTAAATAGCATGTTTACCCATTTTTCTTTTATGCACATTGACTAGATAAAGTACAATCTAGTTAATTAATTTATTATTATTTGTTCTGCATCTTCCATTGTTATTTTAACACTTATTGCATTGTAAGCTAGCTGAATTCTCATAATTTGTTCTAAAGTATTTTCCAATTGTTAGTGTTTTACATTCAGCTTTTCATATTTACTGTTTTCTTACAGAGTAACTAATACTTTTATTGAATATTCACAATAGTCAATGAACTCTTGCATCCATAATAATTCCATGGGTAGTTTGCAGTAGGAAAATTTAGTTCTGACACATGTAGATTTTCAAAATGTGTGGAAATGTGGAGGCAGGAAATAAATGGATAGACATCTGGGATGCTTCTAAGTGGTGTTTGGGGTGCAATAAGGAATGACTGCTGAGCTTGCTGGGCAACTCACAACCGGCGTTATTTGGTCTGACAATGAACAGTGTGCTGACACACTTCTTACTTTACATTCTGTATTTTGTGTTGGTATGAATGAGAACGTCCCACGTAGGCTCATAAATTTTATACTTAGCCCCACTTGGTGGCTGTTTGGGAAGGATTAGGAGGACATGTGGCCTTATTGGAAGAGCTGTGTCTGTCCCAGATATTCTTTCTGTCGCTTGGTTGTGCATTGAGATGTGAACTCTCTCGGGCTGGAAAGATGGCTCAGCTGTTAAAGGCTAGGTTTGCAACCAAAAATATAAGAGATGTGAATTCTCAGCTATTGCTCTAGAACCATGTTTTCCTGCCTGCTGCCATGACTTCCATCCAGATCATCATAGACTCACCTTCTGAAACCGTAAGCCCCAAATAAATTCTTTGTTCTGTAAGTTGCCTTGGTGATGGTGCCATATCACAGTAACAGAAAATAAGCGAATAAACTTGTATATCTGATTAATGATCACACAAGTTCAGTTCCAGCTCTAGGATAGTACAATCTATTGGAAAGAAGAAAATATACAGATATAATAAATTCGTTTGCACAGGGATTTCCTGAACCTCTTTAATTACTGACATTTACAAAAAGATACAGAGAAAACTTACTGCCCTTGAGTTAGTCATGCACTTTTGGTTGAATTTTGAGAGGAGACTAAGAAACAGTTACTTTGAAATGTAGCAATGATACAATTAGCATTATCTGAGGTTGCTACATTAATGGAAGATGATATCAATAACCCTCCAAAAATAACACTTAGATAAAGGATCTCTTCCTGACTGCAAACTAACTATGAATCCTATTGGTCAGTGCTTGCTTATCACTCTAGTTTTTTTGTTTGTTTGTTTTTGTTTTTTTTTTGTTGTTTTTTGTTTTTCGAGACAAGGTTTCTCTGTATTGTTTTGGATCCTGTCCTGGATCTCGCTAGGTAGACCAGGCTTGTTCTCGAACTCACAGAGATCCACCTGCCTCTGCCTCCCGAGTGCTTGGATTAAAGGCGTGTGCCACCACCGCTTTGAACACACTGTTAGGCCACACACATATTAAGTTTGCTGTATTAAGGAAAATCAATTACTCTATCCTTCAGTCTATTACATGTAAAGGTATTAAACATTTTATCAGGAAATTGCAAAGTGCACCTTTAAAATTCTTTACTGTTGATAATCTGTCAATAGTCTAGCACTTACTAGCCATTTACCACTAGCTTGTAAATTACTCCATGCAATGTTTCCCCATAACCTCATTAACACTGCATTACTGGTGAAGGAGACGGTTTGGGAGATGATAGTATGTTATAAAATAGCAAATATTTTCATAGGGAAGACTGATCTTTAGTCTGTTCTGTTGAGATCTTTCCATGATGTAAAAGCATCCTGAACTTTTTTTGTTTTTGTGGCGTTTGTCGCTGCTTCAAATATAGTGTAGACAGAGCATGATCAGGCTTTCTTTTGGGGTGAGTTTGGGATTACTTGAGAGGTACACAGATAGTTGTTGAAATGATTATCCCCAGTGAAATAAATCTCTGTAAATTGTGGAGCTCAAAGAGAAGCGGCTGAGGAGACAGATGGTGTTTATAGTCCATGTAAAACCTCAGCATCTATTGGAAACAGGAGGGCTCCAATCCTTGGCAGTATCCCAGCACCAAACTATTTCCCATCGATGGGTATGAATCACTCCCCCACCGTGGCGCCTGTGCCTTTTTCTGCCGCATATGCGCCACTTAAGCACAAGCGAATCTGCAGCTGACCTTTTCACAGCTCTGTACTGAGGTGCCCACCGCGAGTTTCTAACCCTCGTCAATTTCTTTCCAGACTGAGCTCTTTGTACACGCCTTCAAGGATCAGCTGGTCAGGAGTGCTCTTTTAGCCCTCTACACTGCACGGCCAGGAGGCATCCTGAAGAAACCCCCCTCTCCTAAGGACAGCGCGGAGGAGACCAGTCCCCAGGATGAGCCCCCTCAGCTGAGAAGACAGGACTCCATACCACATCATTCGGACTATGATGAAGAGGAGTGGGTAAGTCTTCTCTCAGCGTTTGCCCTCGCGGGTTAGACCTAAGAAATACAACAAGTGTAATAAGAAAGCTCCACTTCTCTAAAAAATATATTGGAAACCATTCACAGCAGGTGTGAATAGATACTGCACACTTTCCCACAGGATCAAGTTGCAGGCAAAAGCTAGATCCCCGAGCAAATGTATTTGCTATAAATATGTATCTGTTATCAAATAAATCGTATATAACCAAGAATAAGTCTTACCTTCATTTATTAAAATTAAAAAAACTTATAATACCTTTCTTACTCATTTCCAAGCTACATTTTTAAAACTTTTTTCAGGAGAGTGACAAGTCACCTGGGTGGTTGTTGCTCATGCCTTTAATCCCAGCACTCGGGAGGCAGAGATAGCTGGATCTCCGAGTTTGAGGCCAGCCTGGTCTACAGAGCGAGCTCTGGGACAGCCAGGGCTACACAGAGAAACCCTGTCTTCAACCACTCCACCCCTCCAAAATAACTCATGTCAGCCCTAGTGGAATACAAGTATTTCCACTGCTGCTAGGTAGATTTACTTGTATGCATAATTTTTAAAAAGCTTATTCACGTTTAAATGACAGTGAACACGGAGATTTCTTAATTCTCATCGTCTGTGATGAAACAGATCCTGGTCACAGAGTTCTGAATTCATATTCTCTATATATGCATCTGCATGATAACTGGTAAAGGTAAATTAACAAAAGCAGTAAAGGTTTGAAGGGAACTCTAGTAGAGAGGGACAGGATTGGAGAACGGGAAGGGTGCAGAGGTAAAGAGAGCAGTGAGCTATTAAGGAGACTGCATATTAATCATCTAAGTGCCTCTGGGGTGTATTTACATGTGCATGTGCTCACATACATATGCATATGCACTGGAACCCTTTGCTAGCTGTTCTATGTGTTAAACTTTCAGTTAACCATTCTTTTCTCACTACCCTGGAATTTAAATGTGTTTAGGGTGAGGTGTTTGAAAGGTCCAGGTCTCTAAAACAGTGTTTGAAGTTCTATGAGACAGCAACTGATCTTTCTTTCAATAAAATTACGGCCACAGGAAACACCTACAGGCTTCACCAGGTATGTGCTGAGTAAGTGATGTTGCTGCAGATGACGCTTGTATCTTCCACGTGACAGCATTTCAAAAGAACAAGTCGGATATTCCTTCAATTTAACTTCACCTTCCTCAATTTATTCACAGCTCCAAGATGTGCATACCTCTTAACCTCTCGGGAAGTTCAATTTTCTCAGCCGTAAAATGAAAACTGTATCCATTCTGCTTAGCTCTTAGGATAGATGTACAAGTGGTTTATCTGTAGGCATTGCTTTCCTGCCGGGACAGGCCTCATCAGAGTCAGTGGCGGTGTACTGACATGTGCTTCTTGGTTAAAACGTGTGGTTTGTAGTCTTATTATGACAACCAAATCTATCCCTAGAGACCTCTAGCTGTGATATATGTATATATCCATGAATAAACAAGTAATATATGTATAAATAAATTAGACATACACATATATATGTCAGATATATATCATTTAATAAAAATGGATTGTGAATTTGAAGAATTTGAGTAGACATAAAAAGGAAATTATTTCATGTAAATAACCAAACAAATTTAAACTTTTGAGAAATAATTACCATTTTTTCCTGAATCAAGTAAAAACTCTTGAAACACTTTTCATCATTTTCCTCTACCACTTTGTGATTCCCTTCCACCAATTCCTACTTTTCCTGATATTTAAAACTGGGTTTCCCCGTTCTCTCTTCCTTACTTGCTATTGCATACATAAATTCTGAAGTATTTGAAATGAGAAGATTAGCCATGTTAGGTCCTCACCTGAAGCTCAGAGTGTTACAGAAGCAAAAATGCACCAACAGATATAAAATGTTGAAACAAAGTTTGGGGTACTGTGTGATAGCCTCTGGTAATAGGACTTCATTCAACTCAGTTTGAACTCAGAAGTCTCAGGTGCACAGAGAAGAGACAGAAAAAAATGTCGTTGGATGGGAAGGTTTACAGAGAGCTTTCGCCTTCAGTCAGAATCCACATTCTGCCTGATTCACCACGACATGCACTGCGAGCCCTTGAGGACACCCTAGGGCCTCCTAGAGGCCACAGCATATTCAGAAATCTAGAAAGGCAAGCGGCTATTGCACAAGGCAGCTCTAGAGGCTCCACAGAACAGTGAAAGAGTGTGGTGCTCAAAGTGAGGCTTTAGAAGCCACTCTGGAAGTGGGCATGGGAACAGCCGTTAACCATTCCAGAAGGAGAGCAGAGTGTTTGACCTCTGTAGAGAGAGGTCATTGCTGTAGGCACAACACACAGATATGTCTGATGATTATTAATTTTACTTGTTTTGGTTTGTACATTGATGAAATTTTACATTAGGTATAATGGAAGGACCATTTCGGAAGTAGAGGTAGAGACAGACAGCTCTAGGCCCTCATAGAATAACAAATCATCTCACTTCTCATTTGAGGAGTCCCAGAAAAAATGTTTCCTTGAGTTGAGACATACCAAAGGACTCAAAAGAGTTTTGGTGAGATGGTCTGGACTAGATGGGTTTCTTTGTCCTTTTCCACATAAAGAGAACCTTGTGCTGAGAGAAGGAGGTAGGGAAGACAGAAAAAAGGAAAGGAGAAATCTTTAGAACTTATTGCTGCAATTTTAGCAACACTTGGAACCATAGCCAGGGTTTCCATCGTTGTCGAGGAACCAGCTGATGGTCTGCGTAGCTCCTCACAGGGAAGGGTAAACACTTGCTGATTGTTTCCACAGTTGATAAAGTGTCTTCCATGTTTCTCTTGGTTTTCATCTTGAGCATAATAGGTCTGAATGTCTCTGTATCTCCCTGCAAATTAGAATTTCCTCCTGCCAGTCATTAATTTTTGAAATCATAGAAATAGTATGTCCAAGTTTAATACAAAAGGAAATTCCCAGTTAGTAAGTTCTAACTCTGTCCTCCAAATAGCTTTCTTTTTGTTTGTAAACTATTATTGTGAAGGTCACGTAACATTCTTACAGATTTTCCTCAGCAATCACTTTCTACTAAAAATATTCCTCTGCCAAGAGATTTAATCTCCTTTTAAAAACTCAGCAGTCATGGTAGCCATGTAATATGTTATTTTCAAAATGTTTTCCACTTTTGGGCAATGGGGTAAACCTGAAGAAAATGTAGATAAATGAAACTGTGCTGGTTCGTGATTTGGATCATATGCTTCCCGAATTACTTTTCGTAGTTAGTTATTAGAAAAGTATCAGTATTGATTACTAGTATAGTCAAACTCTGAAAGTAATTGCAAGTTTAAAATGAATGCAATCAGGTGTTGATGACATATGAAGATGTTCTGTGATCACTTAAGTTGGCTTGGATTTGAATGTAAAGTTGTACAGGTCTATTTGCTGGAAACCCTGCTTGCTTCCCTTAGCTCCCAGTCATACACTGTAACAACCACTTAATTTGTAACCATTTCCTATAAACATAGGGGAAGTGAATACATCTAAGTAAATTCCTTTTGACTCCATGTTTATACATCTCAGATCTTTTCCTTTATGGTTACCAAAGAGAATCTCTGTTAACCCCACATTATTTTCTTTTTTTTTAATTTATTTTTTCATTTAAATTAGAAACAAGCTCGATTCACATGTCAATCCCAGCTCTCTCTCCCTCCCATCCTCCCCCGCCCCCAGACTCCCAACCCCCCCACCCAGTCCCCCCTCCACTCTCCAGGGAGGGTGAGGCCCTCTATGGGGATCTCCAAAGTCTAACATAACATCAGGTCAGGGCCTAGGCCCGCCCCCATGTGCCCAGGCTGACAGAGCATCCCTGTATGCAGAATGGGCTCCCCAAGTTCATTCAGACATCAGTAACCCCACATTTTTTTTCTGATGCTGTTTTGGTTCCACCTGGCTCCATTGAGAAAAACTGATGACATGAATGTTGATGATATTTATCAAGTATATGCAACAGAAGGTGAAACTGAAGTGAGTGATACCAAAAAACAAAACAACAACAAAAAAAAACAAACAAAAAGAAAAGCCCTGCATGTTATTTGCTAAACATTAGTTATTAAATGATTGACTGCTCTACTGGTTTATTTTCCTGAAAAGTTAGTAAACAATTAAACCCCGATAGAATTTTTGGGATTTCGTGACAATCTATGCTAGGAAATTGACTAGCGTAGCACCCTTAACCCCCCCCCCAAGCCAGTGAAGATGACATATTGCATTTCTCTCTGAACCCTGCTAGAGCAGATGCTTCCAGCAGCTGGGATACCAAGATTAGTTTGTCCAGGATTTGAAAGCACATCATCTAACCAAACTATTAGGCTGTCCCAGATTTTGTGGCTTCAGTAATTACATTATTCTCTACAGCATTGTGGTTTGATTCCAGCATTACTGTTGGTGGATTTGGAGCCAAATCTGCCTATTCCAAGTCAAATAAATTGTTTAAAACCTGATCTTATCATACTTTAAATTCTCATCCGTTCTGGTGGGCCACACAACTAGCAAAACTGTTATTATTGGAAATATCCTAAACTATCTTTTAAATTGAACGATATTTCCCTATTCAAATTACCCAACTGATTTCTGCTTCAAGTTATAGACATAAATTAGCGTTTTTCTGGGAACAAGAAGTTCCAGTATGTTCCTCCTGATAAGGGTGGCTATTGAAAACAGTAATGTACACTAAAAGCTATAAATGTGAAAGTTTTACCACGGAGAAAATAATTAAGGTTTAGGAGAATGTATATTTTAACCCAACTTGTGTGTGTGTGTGTGTGTGTGTGTGTGCATGCGCATGTTTATGCGCATTCCAAGACACTACATTTGTGTGTGGAAATGTTCATATATAGCCAGTAAATTCAAATTTTAAAATGAGTTATAAACCTGATTTCATAAACAAATTCTAATCTCTTTTAAGCTAGAGTATATTTTCTTTTCTGTATTGAGATAAATGTATTTATGTACATATAAGTAAAACAGCTGTCA